CATTTAATGCAGTTTCTCAAGAACAAGTAGCAAAGATTCAACAGCAGATCACTGTGAGAAGAAATCCTGCTCATCTGCCACAGTCACGTTGCCACATTCAGTTAAAAGAAAGATCCTATGATATCCTACAAATACCTATTTTCCTCAGTTTTCTCTGAAATCAGAAGAAAGTGGAGAGTTTAAATACTCCTTTTATGTAAGAAGTGAAGACAGCAGAGGAGCAGTAAAGGCTCTCTGCTGAATACTTCTCATATGACAATACCAGAAAGCTTCCCTGATGTACATTTCATCTTCTAAGCTAGTTGTAACACAGTGAAGTTGCCTAAAGGGAAAATGACAACATGTATGTGAGGAGGAATTATAAGGTTGGGAAGAGGTTACCTGTAGGGTAATCTCAAGGATAAAGCCAACAAGCTGGTGTTATGCAGTGCATATGCATTTTTAATGAATAACTAGCACATGTACTGCTGACAGAGCTGGCAATTCTTTGATACAGTGGAAGATCAAGGCCAGCCAGTTCTGCCTGCAAAACAACCCTTAAGGACTGAGGCAAGAGAACATATGGAGATTTCTGCAGTACTGAGTAATGAGTTCAGAGTCATGCATTTGGAGGTTAAATAACTCTGTTGAGTTGGGAGCTTGTCAGTTCAAAATAGCAGGGGGAATATAATGTGCTTTCTGTGGTTGTTATATATCAGTATAATAGCATGTCCACTAGACAATTTTTTCAAAGGGATTAACACTTCTAATCATTTGACAAGAAATTTCTTTCAAAAGAGTATTCAGTCAAAATTGGCAAATGCATTTGGTTTTAATTCATCTGAGGTGCAGACAGAGAGGGACTGCTAGGATATATTCCTCATTATCTCAAAAACAAGAGTTTGATTTTGCATAGTTCAGCTGAGTCTAAAGGCTGTAAATCAGCCAAGTGCATATGCAGTAGATGTTAGAAAAAAAGATCAATACTGATCCAACAAGAAACCAAGAATTAAGGAACTGCAAACACAGTTGGTTATAAAGACATAGGGAGGAATGTAGGCTCTGGAATGTTGCAGTCAGAATACATGGAGTAGAAACACAAGTAGCTCAACTGACAAGACAATTACTACACCCTTGTCCAAATGTCTGACTCATACAGTATAATGGACTAATTTTCCTCATAAACTGGAGTGATTTCTGACAGATTATATTGGGTTTTTTTTCCATAAATATCCTGTATAACACAGGCCTGTTTCTTTCCAAATTTCTAATCATGGTTAGGTTTCTTCATTGGGCATGATGTTGTTCTCTCCACTAAAGCTGGACATTAAAACTCTGAAGAGAGAGAACATAAGATCATACACCTCCCTCAAGTTGTTCTTCCCACTCTCCTCAGGAAGGATATCACTTGGCATTTATCCACACTGTATTTCACCAGCTATGTTACTGCCATCTTTTTTATTTATTGCTCTGAGTTCCCTACTTTGCTGCCTCACTGCACACACTTGCAAAGGACAAGGACCACTTACTCCTACCACTCATTTCTCACAGTTAAGTGAATTATTTGTTCATTTAAGGATTCTTTCTCCAATCACATAACTATTTAGTTTCTTAAAATTTGGTTGAAGCAAATATTTGAATGTACACATCCAAATAATGAGATTTTCTAAAAAAAATGCTGCTTTAGCCTGAGTTCTCCATCTTTCTCATTTATCACAGGGATTAAGATAAGAACAGATATGACTAACACCAGGAAAGAGTGTGTATATTTCTAACAAAGTAGCTTTCAACATCTGTTCTTAAGTAGTGGGTAGAAATAATCTTTCTCCAGAGTTCAAAAACCAACCAAAGTTTAAAAGATTTTGTTGTCTTCTCTCCCAGCACCTCAAAAAACCCGCCAAGACTTTTGTGCTGTTACCTACTGCCAACTTCATTGCCATAGCTTTAAACTAGAAGCGATACCTAGGCTTACTTTTTAAAAAGCCTAAGTAATATTTTGAGGTTTAAGTCTCCTTACACAAGAAGTTCAGATAGAAAGCAGAAGTTAACATTTCCCCCAAATATGCTGTAGATATTTCATTACTAATTCTATCAGCAAAAACATCCACAGTATTCATTACAATATTAGAAATACGGTCAGGAAGAATACAGGTTTTTCAAAAACTTTGCTAAATCTTTTGAGCTGCTATTACTGCTCACATTCTGTGAAGGTTGAGTAGGGTGTCAAAACCTCTTTGCAGATTAAATTAAGACTTTGGCTTCTCCTCAGTATAAGAACAGTGCTCCCATAGGAGTTTTAGAGTTCAGGAGAGCACCTACCAAGAAATAAATCATCATTCCACAGTTCAGTGAGATGAGTTCAGTTCCTTTTATTGATATCCACCTTTCTCCTGAAAAGGTGGGTAAAAATCTCTTTGCATGAGCACTTCTTTACACAACGTAGAAGAGAAAGAGGTACAACAATGTAAGCCAGATGAAGGGAAACGGGAGGCAGCACAAAAAGGAACACTCTCTGCCTTACTTTCCCTATTGCTTGTCTCTGGTTCCTAGCGGAGTTGCTTCCCATATTTACACCCCTTCCAGTCTCTGGTCTCAGTCCTAAATGTCAGCAGTACATTGTTAGTAACTGTGTGTCAGACTTGACAGAAAGAAAAATCTATCTATTTTTCTATCTTAGACTGTTTGGGTTTTTTCCTTAAATTACAAGACTTAATTAAGTTGCAACTCCCTCTACCTACATTTCTCCCTATTCCATTTTACCCCTTTGTAGACTCTACTAAATAATAATACTTATAAAACCACTCTATATCAGTGTGACTTCCTGGCTATCTCATACCTGTGACCAAGCTTCACTCAGCATTTTAAAAGCTCTCGTATGGAGTTGCTCTCATTGTCAAAATGCCAACTGACTTACTCAAACACTATGTGCATTCCCCATCAATGTATTAAAAAAATGTATCTGAAGGGTTGAGGAAAGTACAGTACCAAGTCCATAGGGCTAACAAGCAAGTTGCTACAGTTTATTTACTTAAAATACAACTGCACTTACTTGTACAAGTAACAGAGGCAAATGGTGCTTGATTTCAAACCCACCAGAACACTCACACCACGGACGGATCAAAAAGTGAAGTCAAAAGCTGGTTGCTGCTACTTCTCAGCATCTTGCCCCACAGCATAAATCTCAGCCAGAAATTACTTATCAATTCAACACATTAAATACCTGCACATTAAACCTTCACAGAGTAAAACCATGGGTTATTATTACTATGCTTGTTTTAAAAGAGAGAACCAAAAAATTTTATTCCTCAGGATAAGGCTGGGTTCAGAGATAATGCTGATCTGTAGTAGTACAAGATGAACAGTTAGTATCAAATAGAACTCATGACAGATTATGAAGTTCAACAGCATTGCCCAAAAAAATTTCCAATGCCATAAATATACCAAAAAACACAATGAAGATAAAACATGAGCACCTTTTCAAAAAAGTCTACCATGTAAGAAGTCTTGCTCAGACCATAATAAAACCTCTTACAAGTAACCTGAAACCTAAGAGTCAAGTTGAAGTCCACTCTAGGGTCAAACACTTTTAATTTCAATTAGTTGCAAAACCAACAGCAATGAGTCATAAAGCTTTGACACTGCCGAAAAAGTGAAAAGCACATCTACCTACATCCATAGGTTTCATTAATCTCCTGAGTTATTAATCTCTATCAAGCAGTAACTACATTTGTCCATGAAGACATACAAAATTAGTTCAGTAAGTGCTTACGGTGGTCAATCTAATAGTTGCTGTCAATAAAAGTTTCCCTTAAAAATGCATCCCTTTCATGAACAGCATAAAAGATGAGTTTATTTCACCATAAAAGAAATCAGTAAATTGACCCCAAAGTACGATTGTGCTAATCTGTAGGAGGGAAAGTTTGTCAAAACATTGTTAGACATGGTATAAGCAGACATTCCCAAACACTTTAAGCCTAATGCCTAATAGATTAAAGCTGGCACATGAGCAAAGCTACCTAGGTCCCTTTTGGGAAGTCATCATGATACTGAAGACATTTTGCCACACCAAACCTAGGAATGTTTTGATTCAGCCTTTTTTGTTGTTGTTGTTTGAACCACTTAGAAATCAATGTAACCTGACTACCCAAATATCTTTTGAATATGTTCAAGGTGTAGAAATTAAGTCCTGCAGGCCCCATCATGTTCCCTTCTCTCAAAGACACTCTCCAAACAGCAGTGCTTATCCCGGAGAAGTGACTGAACCAGAACAGTTTACTAAAGAATACTTGCCTGTAAGAAACATCAGCATCTGCATTATTTATTTTGATAGCAAAAAGTTGTAGAGTACTACTTTGTCTCCCAGAAATTCAGTGCAGGCTTTTGGCTGAGTTAGAATTTTTGAACTCCTCTCTCTACATCAGTCCATCTTGTAATAGAAACCTACCAACTTGGGAGCCTTCAGCTCTGGGACAGAACTGCCAGGAAAAGCCATGGCAGGGAACCACAGAACTAGAAAAGGGAGCAGAGAAAACTCAGCAGCTCTCAGGTTACTCTGTTGTTCTGCTTCTCTGATGAGAAGGATGTTTCTTTCAGAGAGGTTTTCCTTGCTCTGCGCTCCACCCTCCCCAGTGTCATCTGCCCTGGAGCTAAGGGAAGCTGCATGAATGTCACTGAAAACAGCAGTCTGAAGAAGCAAAGTCAAAAAAAGGGCAGGAAAAAAAGGTCCGTTTGGAGGTGAAGTTACCAGAAAAGCCCAACTGAACAGAACATCTACAAATAGAAACCATTCAACTAGAATGCATTTTCAATTCAGGAAGTTGTAATATTCCATGTTTCATACTCCCTAGCTGTACAGCTTATTCTAGCCCTTAGTTTTCAGTAGCTATGGAAGATTTTTCACCTCTTGCATGAGACTAAAGAGCTCTCTACATCTAAAACTGAGATTAAGAGGGACAGGTTAACAACTACTCTAAGCAGTTGCTTTCAGGTTTGGAAAATGTTCAGACTGAAAAGCAAATTACCTGGTTAGACTGCATTGTAACAACTATAAGTGCTCTAGAACTTTTTTTTAAAACCTCTCAGTATGGAGACTAGACGCAGTTGTTCCAATTATAAATTCCCTCTTCTGCACAAAGACAAGCAATGAAAATTCCATTGTGTGATCCTACAAAAGTATCATAGCAGAAAAATATCAGAATAGACTGGAATTACTGACACATCTAATTTTAAGCTGTAACTTTCACAACAAAGGTTATCTAAAATTGTAATACTCTATACCACTCTTTAGATGTTCAGACTTTCATGTAAATTACCTCTAAGTCAGATGTTTCTCCATGGCTTTAGAGCCAGGAAAAAACACACTCTTCATTGACTTTATATTACATCAGCAAGTTCAAATCTAAAACTTAAAGATAGTTTTTAAAAATCAAGCAATTCAACGGATGATTGAACAGAAGCTAGAATATTTCTTTAAAAGTCCAGAAGTGCAGAGACCTGCAATTGTTAGTTCACCTGTACCTATATCAATCAAGGTACACAGGAAACATACTGGAAAATAAATTTTCCCAAAGGTGTGCTGAAGATATTCATAATTGTCAAAGTGACAAACTTTCCTTAAATGTGAAACTATACTAGTGATTACTTGTTGTGTCAACCTCATATTTACTGCAGGGGTCTAATGGAAGTTTTAATAAATAAGTAGTAATGGGAAAGCCAGAGTAATGGAAGTATATGCAGGTTCATTTATTTTAATGACTGTCTTCTTATTCTTAAACCACTTCATATACTTCTCACTGACTAATTCAGCTTATAATAAATTTATCAGATAATAAAATATTATCATAATCTTTCATAGGGCTTGATCAAGTACTGCAGGGACAAACAAAGTAGCTTCAGGTTCAAGACTAAATTTTAATTCTCCAAATCAGCTCAAACCTTACTAAAAGCTGGGACACAAGCAAGCTTAAAATATTGATAGAAAAACCTCCTGAAGAATTAAACTGTTCTTCATCAAAACCATGTGGTCATTATAACACTGAGCCTCTTTTCTACAAGAAATTAGATTTTCAGTCTCTGCATCCCATTTTATCCCACTTTTCCTTAAAAAGTAGTCTCATTATGTTCAAGCTTAGAAAAAGCTTCTGAGTCAAAATTGGCTTATTTTTGTAGAAAGCACATAGAAGCAACCGTCACCAGTTATAGGTGTGTGCACTGCATTACAGTGCCAAATTTTAACATCACAAGTGTTTAAGTTAGCAGACTACCCCATTCTGAACAAGAGATGTAATCATTCCACCACAGCATTTTGGAAGACAATTTCCTCTCTAGTGATAAAAGCCTAGTCTAAATACACTTATTTTCCTGTTTCTAAAACAAATGAAATTGGCAACACTAGCAGTTAGAGATTAGTTCCAGATTTTCTGTGCAAACAGTAGCAACAGCACTTTTCACATGCATATGACTATACATATATGGGATTTTGCCTATATAAACTTGTCTTCAACTCATTTACAGTGCTGAGCTCTTGGAAGGCATACATTTTACTCCCATCACCAAAGCTCCCTATATAGTAGCTACTTACAGAGAAAATGGGCAGGGTGAACCCCACTGTGTAGAGGACAGTGGATGTGATGGTACTGTCATGGAACGGATACTTGATGCTGTCATCATTACAGAAAAAGCCTCTCTGATACGGTTTTATTTTGGCCAAGTTTAGAACACCAAGGGGTAAGCCAGCTGTTGGGGGAAGGAAAACAAAAAACAAAAACAAGAAATACATGTGGTTAAATTAAAAAAAAAAAATCATTTCTAATCATGCATGGAGGAAGAACATGCATAACTCAAATTTCCTAAGTATCATGCAATGCACACACTTACCAAATTCTGTTTATAGACATTTCTTTTTCAGAAGACTACTTCAGAAAGACTGAGGTTCCCCATCAGGTACAGATGTTAAAAAAGTATAAACTTCAAAGTCTTCCATCCATAAGGTGAGTTGCCACCAAACCACACCAAACCAAGATTACATTCAAGAAAAAGCCTTTGCCCTTCACATGACTAAACAGTTATTGAGGGCAGATAGCCTTTTGTCCCTCCTCCCTCTGCCACTACCTCACAAGCTTGGCTTGTATCTGACTTGCCAGCCTTGTTCTATACACTATAATGTGGTCAATGTTTACAGATAAGACAAAGAATAGACACAGGTTTTGTCACGGTTAGGGAGTTAAAAATTTCATGCAAGTAGTTTTCAGGCAGGTAATGGGAACAAGGGAACTGCAGGGACACTAATGGACACTTTGAATGGATTGCATCTCCAGGTCATGAGATTATACCTTGAGATTGGATTTACACAACTTTTGTACACTTTGGAAGATTTCTGCATGAAAATATACAAGTTATTAACATGGTAGCTGAGATCTGGGTACAAATGATAGCTCTCAGAATTTACACACTGTGATATATTACCGATTCCCTCTCCTAAAAGTTAACTTGCATTCTACTGACACTCATGCGAAAGAAGCCATCAAGGTTTCTGATAATTATATTCAGGACTAACTTATTTCTGATAAGAACCACCTGCCATGTAATATACATTTGCAGGAGCAATAACCTCAGGAAATCCAACTTTTTCTTTTTATGTTACTTTCTCATAAAACCAGTAAGGTTGGAAAGGACCTCCAAGATCACCAAGTCCAGCCTTTAACCAAATAACATCATGTCCGCTTTCTTCTCCCTTTCCTTTGATCAATTGAGCAAGCGCTAGATTAAAGTGGGTAAATTACATAATGCTAAATCCACAAACAAAACAAATTTTATTTTAAAACATAGAAAGGGCAAATAACTTTGTATTTTCCCCAGCATCCATATAATATGCAATGCTGCAAATAGACATTCTATATGTAAATTAGAGGGTGAGTGCAATTGCTGGAGCAGAAAAGACTGCTCAAGTACATAAACAACCTGCTGTAGATAGAACAAAAAACATGTCAAAGAAGTTAACATGATGAGTGATTGCTTTGATTTCTGGTGACACCTGTTGACTACCAGGTAAGTAGCTTAAAGGTGTTTTAAGCTTACTGCTAGATACTTCATTAGAAGAAAAGACATCACAAGTAAACAGTTGGAACAGAGTGATAAATCCTGTCCCCTTCTTTGGGCTGCTGAGTTGCAGTGCAAAGGCTTGTGAGATGCATATTGAAATTGTACATGGTTGGTATTGCCCCAACTTTCAACTCTTCTGATAAAAATGCTATGGTCACAAGAAAGCAGTTTGGGAGGTTTTTTAATCCTCTCACAGAGCAGAGGAAAATTTTTTTCACATATCATCTGCCATATGAAAACTGTCCACACCTACTGATGCTTGCCATCCCATATAGAAAAAGTGAACCAAAATACAAATGGCATCAAGCTTATTCAACTTCAAGCACAAAGTTTTTCATTAAGTAGCATGGTATATCGTTGAATCAACTACGTGTCAAAGGCCAGTCTCTCTCCTTCCATCTGCTTTAATGACTGAGAGAAGAGCTAAAGTTTGACCAAGCACAAGTAGCTGACAAAAGCAGGTGAAACAACTGCATCCCTTCAAACATGAAGACAGCCACACTGAAGAACTCAAAGTTCATTCTGACCAAAGGGATTGCTGCATGTTCACGTGCCTGGAGCCAAGCTTCAGCTACCTTCAAGGCCATGGCAAGATTCCACTAACATAAGAGTCCATGCTTCCTGTCTTTACCTCTGCTATTGCACATCCAGCAGGATGATGGAATGGTAATTCCATTACCTATTTGATACAATCATATCTTCTCAAACAGGTCACCAGATTTTCACATAACGGAAATACCACATGCTCGTGATTAACTTAAGCAGCAGTTTGTGTTTTGCAGAAGTGGACTACTTCACAGACATAAATACCCGTTTTCCACAAAAAGCTGCTACAAATGTAATATCAAGAACTATTGCACATAATAAACTTTTGACATGTCAAGGGGGAAAATGGAAAGCAGCACATAAAGGGGTCAGATGAAAACAGTTTCAAAGTGAGCAAAACTCATCTGTATAGACTACATTAAAAGAATATCTAAAAAAAGGAATTTGGTTACACATATTACACTAACTTCCCATTTCCATTTTTTTTCATTTCTGTTAAATTCTTACTGCAATCTAAATGATGCTCTGCTTTCCAACAGTGGACTAGAAGATTTTGTAAAGTGGTCTCCAGTTGACCATTAACCTATCCCAAAGACTGGTAGCATTTTTACTGTTGCTTGTTGGAAGAGAAGATGAGACTTAGTATATGTAAGCAAACAGTCCTGAACTTTTCACTGTAAGCAGAATAAAACCCCACCACTAATGTACATAACAGGCAACTATTGCCATCAGAGGTGCCAAGCATCTCCATGACCTTTAAGTAGGCTGAACTTCTGAGGAATGTCCTTATGTTCAGTCTCATTAACTTCCACAAACTGGAGTAAAGAGCGACCAAGATCTCGTGCAAGATCACCAGGCTAAAAGGCAATCTTGTAGAGCAGCTCTCATGCCTTACCCTCTGCTCAGTAAAACTTCTTTTCCTTTTCACCTAGCCAGTACCAGCAGTAACCTCAAGTTACTTTTCTGAACCATGTAGCTTTATACCTAAAGGGATCATAATGGCTTAGCTGTTACTCATATCCTATAAAGCGTGACCTTTAGCTGTAAAAAAATGACTATTACTTGAAATCACCCATCAGACTGGAGCATATCAGAACATGGATTTTATCTACTTTCTGGTAAAAATTGTGTAGCTTATCTTCTCAATAACTAGTGACCGACAGATTCTGGGCTGTTTTGTTAGGTAGCAGCAAGAAACAGACAGCAGTTCTCTGATCTTTCTCTCCCCTTTAATTATAAAGGGAAAACAATATGGTCACTCTAGTGCTCTGCGACTTAAAAAAGGACATACTCCTACAACACTCACAGTAATAGACTCTAGCTAACCCACAGACCAGGCTGGATGGGGCTTGGAGAAACCTGGTCAAGTGGAAGGCATTCCTGCCCATGGCAGGTGCATTGGAACAAGATAATCTTTAAGATCACCTCCACCCAAAATATCCTATGGTTTTATAACCCTGAAAGCAAAAACATCCTATGGTTTTATAAATCCTGTTGAAGAGGAAAAGAGACTACAAAGATCTGAAGCCTTTGCCTGTGAAAGAAAGGTAAACAAGCTTCATACACATGAACAAGAAGAAAGGTAAACAGAGTAAAAAGGGAGACAAAGGCAAGAATGATGCTTGAATTACTGAGCAAGGGCTACAAGGATGGAACAGCCTTAAGTTTTGGAGAAATGTAAGAGCAGGGCAACACATTTCTACAGCTACATGAGATATGCTGAGTTTACAAGGAGTTTCCAACTCCAATGTATAGGTCCAAACCAGTTGCAGTGTAGTTTCCACTGATCGCCTACAGTAATTCCCAGTAATATTCAAGAAGTATTTGATCACATCTGGCTGGATGACAGTGTGACAAATGCCTCTAAGAAGGGAAGGAAGGGAGGTCCAGGCTAGGAGAATAGGGAGGAAGTCCATGTGAGAATGGCCCTCCACCCACAGAAAAAGAATGTTAAAAATAAAATACCAGTAACCAAGGGGAAGAAAGTGATCTTTTTCCCCAAAAAGGAAGTCTGTTTAGTTAAAAAAAATCAATTTGCTATATTTTTAGTGGTTTTTTTTTAAGACTAAACAAAAAACAATTTAAATTTCATAGTTTATCCTACAAATTGAAGTGATGGGTACCAATTCATCCTCTTTTAACAATGTAGGTAACACTGCACTACTTCTGTGTGTTCTGTTCTGATCTGTGGCATTTATCACACTGGTAATTTTTGAGTTAGGTGCTTTAACTTGAAGGCCTAAGAAGTCAGATTCTGCAAACTTCCAGGTGTTGATGTAGCTTCAGCAGCAAGCTGCCCACTTTTCTTAAACAGGAGAAAAAGATTTATAGCCAAATTAGTGTCTTTTACAACAGTTGCCATAAATATTTAAGACCAGCAAAGAATATTATTGTTTCATGTCTAAAAGGAGTAACTCTTAAAGTTTCTAACCATTTCAGTGATACTGTACTACCTAGTTCTCAACCAGATGCAGCAGTCACAGAACTTGGCTCCGCTTTCAAGAGCAGCCCAAAACAACCTAGACTGTCCTGTCCTTCTCCCATCTCTGGCCATCCCCCACTACCCCTTTCTTGCCTAAGCATTAGTTTTCACACCAACCTGACCAAAAAGACAAGCCCACACAACACTGGTTTTTCAGAGGCACTTGCTCATCTGGCCAACTGCATTACTGTAAGCACTGGCTTACAGGACAGAGTAGGAACATGTAGCCAAGGGTGTGGAATAAAGGACAAGGATAGACTGGGACAGATCAGTTTCAACACCTCATGAAACTGCATCTTGATTAGTGGTGCTTTCTCCCCCACAATTTTAAATAGTACAAAGGAATGCACTGTATTTTGTAAACACACCTTAATTAACCCACTTGGCCTCCTTATCTGTGCAAGTGATTGAATGGCTCTGTGCAGTCAAACTTGTGCTGAATTGCTGTTTCAAGTCCTCCAAGGCAGTATTACTCTTCTATCTGGTCCTCAATGAGGAAGTTCTCTTTAACAAAACAAATTAATATCTAGGAACCGTGAGAAAGGCAGTTACCCTTGGGGGACACTACAGTAAATGAGAGCATTCTAGCTTGATTATTAACCAAAGT